GACCGGTGGCCACTGCGGTCGTTATAACAGAACAGAGTAATTTATTTGCTAAAGTGAAAACGCCTGTATCGAGTTTTGAAGCACAGTGACTGTTGTCTTAGCATGAAGGGTACTCTTTCATTAAAGACGGAGATCATACTGTCGATAACTATAGATAGTCTGATGGCAGTATGTAGTTCACCAGCAAGTGTGTGGCAGATATATTGGACTAAAATAATAAGGTGAACAAATAATCCAATTATATTACAGTAGGTCCTACCTATCGAGCACATAGTCGCTTCTCATGGCTATAAAGTATTCCGTTGTTATAATTTTGAAGAAAAAATAATCGGGAATCATGCGAATTTGTTCTGCTCTCTGTTGGAGTAAAACTTAAAAGAGACGAGTAAATATAAGTGAAAATGATAAATTATACTTAAATTTCTGGACGTAGTTACAGAGGTTCAAGGTATCAACCATCGCCTCCCTCCACTTCTATGGGGCTTACTTAAAACATAAGCCGGCCGTGCCCATGCGCCCCATTATCTCTTCCCGGGACGCACCCTCTGGCAGCTGCTGGCGACAGTCCCTACTCCCCTTCTCGGCACCTCTCCTGCTCACCTCCGTCATTCCCAGGACTCATCTCCCGTGTCCGGGGTGGTCTTGCGGCGACCATGATGAGCTTGGTGTCGAACTCCCCTGTTCACTAATGTCCCGCTAGATGACGTCCTCGCTTTCCTTGAGAGGAGCCTCCCCCCAGAGGATCCTTGTCTCCCTCTGCCCACCGACTTCTTCCTCCAGCTGATTCGTCTGTGTGGAATCGAACTCCTTTTCCTTTGAGGGTCGCTTCTACTCCCAGACCTTCGGTGTTGCTATGGGCTCTCCCCTCTCTCCGGTCTTGGCTAACCTGTTTATGGAATTCTTCGAATCTGAGCTTCTCCCTTCCATCTCCCTTCGTCCGACGGTTTGGCTGAGGTTTGTCGACGACTCGCTCTCTGGCCTCATGACCCTGCCCTGTTCTCGGACTTCCTGACCCAGCTGAACTCTCTCTCCCCTTCCATCCGTTTCAAGGTGGAATGGGAGGCTGACAACAAGCTCCCCTTCCTGGACACCCTAGTTCATCGCTCTGTTGACCACTTCTCCTTCTCCATATACAGGAAGCCCACTTCTTCTCTTACCATCCTCTTCATGTAAAGAGAGGTGTTGCCACGTCGCTGTTCCTCCGCGCCCTCCGCATCTGTGACCCCCAGTACCTGGATGGAGAGATCGACTTTCTGCGTCGTTCGTTCTTCAAACTGGGCTACCCTCGTCATGTCCTCGACGCCGCACTATCCAGAGCACGGCGGACCTTCTACCACGAGTCCTCTCCTAAAGAGACTCCTCACCTGCCCACCCTCAGCCTGCCCTACACGGAGGAGATCCACTCTCTCCGCCGCCCTCTTCACACTCTCAATTGTAGGCTGATCTTTCGCCAGGTGAACACTCTCCGTCGTAACCTGGTCCACACCAGCCCTCCCTCTTCCTCGAAGGTGGGCACCTATGCTGTTCCTTGTGGCTCCTGTGACAAGCAATTACTTTGGCGAGACGGGCGCCAGTCTCACTAAGCGCTTGTCTCAACATAAGTATGCTATATCCAGGGGACACAACAACAACGCTCTCTTCTGCCATCAGTGGGATACAGGCCATCAGATGGTGCTGCTGCCTAATTTTAACTTGAACAGCGGCTTTTCTCCCGCCGACAGCCTCCTCGCTTCACACATCCTCCGCCTTCTCCCGTACGCCGGCCATCCTGCACACAATCCGCCCGACCATCCGACCTGATCTGACCTCCCTTCGCTTCCGTCCGTCTTTCCTCACCTGCCCCGTGTCACCGCGTTCCCTGTCCTCTCTCCCTCTTATACCCCTTCCTCTCCCTTTCCTCTTCAGACCTGAGGATGGAATCCAGGTGGATTCCGAAACTGTCGTCTCACTTTCATTTTCAATAAATCTAGTTTTTACATTATGGGTTTTTCTACCATTTATATATATATATAAATATATATATATATATATATATATATATATATATATATATATATATATATATATATATATATATATGTGTGTGTGTGTGTGTGTGTGTGTTATTATCTATCTGTATGTAAAGTTTCCTTCTTTTACATTTGTTAATGCCGGCAATCATACGGTTGACTAGCTAGAACTTACCATTGCTTCCAAATTAAGATGATGATCATAAAGATGATGGTGATGATATTAATGATAACAGTAAAAACAATATATAAATGATAATAACAATAGCCTTCGTATTTGCCATAATCCGTATCTTTCAGGGTTAGGGACTTTGGGGGCCTGTCTACATCCGTTATAATTCCTCTACAGTAAAATAAATTAGGCACGAGGGAACTGAACCGCGAAAAAAACAAAAAACAACAACAACAAAAAAACAACAGCTAAGGGAATGGTAAGCCTTAATCGTTCTCATACTAATTGTTCTATTGAATAGTTTGTTAATTTAGCCTAGCATCTATGACATAAACATCGATATCTTCGCTTTAATGCACTGCAATCATGACATGGAGTGTCTTAATGTGAATATATCGTTGCCCATGTTGTAAATGAAAGCTTAGTTTGACAAAACATTTAACAAACGTAATGTCGGGCAATTTTGTATGTGGTATGTTCCGTTGGCAATGGTGTCTGATGCTGAAGAAACCCAGTATATTAACAAGTTAATAGAAGGAATTCGCATGCAAGGAAGGATTCATAGGAAAATATGGGCTTTTTTTTTTTTTTGACCAACAATGACGACGGTTTTAAAGAATATTTTGAAGACAAGTCATCAGGTTTTAGAATTACGATGTTGTCCTTTTCAAAAGGGGGTTACGGCCACAAAAAGGGAAAAAGAAAAAAAGTGTTGTCCTGCTCCAGGGTTTATCATTTAAAAAACAGAGGACGGATTCCCGAAAGCACTTAGGAAGAGAGAATGCACGTTCAATCAAGTATATAATCAACATATACGCATTGCTTGTTACTGTTCAATCGACACTTACTCATATGAATATGGTTCCTTTTGAGTCTGATTACGTAACTAAATAAAACAAGGTTCTCGTTATCAACGAGGAATTTATTTCTGACAGAGAATTATACAATGGGTTATTATGCACCTATGCGTCTACTACCAAAGGCCGTGAACAATATAGTACTGTGCATACATTTCTAAATAAAAAAAAAAAGAAAAGCCTATTCAAAATCAAGTCTTAACTAAGGTCGTATCCATATCATTGAGTATACCAAGAATCCATTTAATACAACCCACATGTGTGATAACAACTTCAAATATCCCATCATAATAGGTAGTGTAGCATCCTGGTATAGTAACTGCTATGCTTTCCTAGTCTGTCCTTGCGGAAAAAACGATCTGGATAAGCAGTTTGTCACTTTTTCGGTAAATTTCTCCAGAATTCTCCAAGGTCTGCAGGAAACAAGAAAGAGAGTTTAAAGGCATGCATATAAACTCCTTATCTTTGATGCTACATTAAATGTATGGAAGGCTCTTTGTAGGGGGAAGGCTAACGGAAAATTCAGTAAGACATGTCATTGAGAAGGAAATTAGTAAGATATATCAGACTGAGAGAAAAAATTCAGTAAGGGCATGTCGATTGCAGAAGTAAGAAGTCAAACAGAGAACTTTACCATTCCAAAGGTAATTAGGGGTAGCATGGAAGCTCAATAATTTAACAACTAAGAATTTTTTTTTCAGGATGCTGAGAAAATGATACTGGCCTATAAAGCACCGAGCAAATATCTGAAAGACACCCTTTGCAATATAAAGGATAAGGATGTTTTCAATGATCTATAATACATATGACTACAGATTAGGTCTACATTATCAACATCATGAAGGTGGGATTCAAATAAAGCATACATGCATGTAGAACTTAACATTCTTCAATAGTAACATGTTCTGGTTATATGCTACAGAGATATTTCAAAAAAGGCAAAAAAACACTACAGTAAACCTTCGTATTGCTAAATCATTGCTCCCAAACATCCTTCAAAGGAAAAAATCACGCCAGTATATTGGAAATTGTGCACTCGCTAATCAAAAAAGTCGAAAGATGGTATGGTAGTAATAAGTTTATCCAATGGGCATTATTGCTGAACAGTTCAGGACTTGTTTGTGTGTGGCAAGGCCTGTACTTTATAAATATATATAATACATGAACATCATCGAAGACCTGCATAGTAGGGATGAAGTGATGCCGAGGTAAGAAACCGTCGAGTTCATCAGTCGGTGTCCATTTGAAATCCATTGACATATCCGGTGTGGGTTTCTAAAGGCAAATTCTTTAACATTACCGTTTTATAAACCTTTTTTCCTTGCAAGAGTATCAGTATCTCTTAAAAACCAAGTCTTTATTAGTATTACTAGGTGGTTGATAAGATGCAGCTTTGACTGTAATTGTAAGTGTTTTAGGTTTCAGACAGTTTTCTTACCCAGTAGCAGCAAAGTGGTCCAGAGATCTACATGACCTCGAAAACGAAGAAATCCTTCTTCCTTGCTCATGCTGATATGAGAGTGTCAAAGGAGAAACAGGTACTGCAAATCGTCCATGTGAATTACATCTGTGTGTAACTGTGTTGGTTAGTATTGACAGTAAACGTTCAATTTTTTAGGTATAAAGGCAAAGAGCTGTGTAGATACAGTGATATTAGTTTGCTAGAGTAATCATGTTTCTGTTCAAATTTCATCACCAATATATATATATATATATATATATATATATAGATAGATAGATAGATAGATAATGCATTCACGTGTATTTACTTCTACTTTTAATAATAACAGTAATGATAATTATATCAATAATTATATTAATAGTAATTAGACTATATTAGTAATGATAGTATTAATAATTATATTAATAATAACAATAATAATAAAAAAAATCTTACTATCCAACATCCACTCAGGTGCAGGTCCCATGTATAGTTCTGTAAAGGTGTACTGTCCACGATGCTGCAACTCGTAAGCGTAGACATGACGGCCATAGACGGTACCCCTTGCATGGTTTTCTATAGCTTCTATGGTGCATGTACTGTAGAAGGAGTCACTGACGAGCTTGGAAGTGAACAAAATTCACATTAGGTCAAAGTTTTCTGATTGTACAAAAAAAGAAGAAATATTGTCACAAGCATCCATCCCTTTCACCTTTCCAGCCACTTTCATCATTCTATTACATTTTCTTGACCTCTTACTCTTTCTTTTCCATAAATCTAGAAAAAAAATACTTCATATTTGGCTTTATCAGTATTACTACTCATAGGCTTTGGAGCGCTTTGAAAGTGTGGGGGGGGGGGGGCGCACTTCTGCGAGTGGTGTGGGAGGGGGTGTCCCCCTCACACGGTATGGAAAATTTAATTTAATAATTTAATTGGACTGACACAATACAGTTTCACTGTCAACCCCAAGGCATTCTTTTATTAAAGTCGGTGATGCTAGTCTCTAAATGACAGTGTAACAAATCGGCACTGAGCTATGGTACTTAACCCTCCTTGTCCTCTCATGGTGGTACAGCATACAACAAATGCCATGCATTTGTACATGGGTGCTTGGTTCCAAGCCACAGTACTGGCTAAGTGTCTCGGCTGGTGTATCTTATCAAAATATGTCATAAGGCCATCTCAATACCCGGTTTAGCATGTACAAGGGATCAAAAGGTCTGGGACTGAATCCTGTTGCTGCTGTAGTGACGTGCTAGTGGATGAACCTGTGTGTAGTAACTAGCTAACTGCACTTGGCCCCCCTGGGCCAAAAAGTGGGGGGGCGCGCGCCCCCCTCGCCCCCCCCGGCTCCAAAGCCTATGCTACTAGTACCATTATCACTGTCATCAGTAATACTACTATTAAAAGGAAGATGATACTACTACCGGGCATACCGGGCTCCCCAAATAGGCATAGCCCGGGCGAGGCTCTGCCTCGCGAATCTTAAAAAAAAAAAAAAAAATACTACCGGGCAAATAGGCATAGCCCGGCCGAGGCTCTGCTTCGCGAATCTAAAAAAAAAAAAAAAAAAAAAAAAAAAAAAAAAAAAAAAAAAAAAATACTACCGGGCTCCCCAAATAGGCATAGCCCGGGCGAGGCTCTGCTTCGCGAATCTTAAAAAAAAAAAAATAAAAAAAATACTCCATTCTCAAGCCCGGGCGAGGCTCTGCTTTGCGAATCTAAAAAAAAAAAAAAAAAAAAAAAAAAAAAAAAAAAAAAAAAAAAATACTCCATTCTTTTTCTAAATACTTCATGTTCATCTTACCTTGGTCAGAGCATCGATCTTGCTCATGTCAAACTCGACGGCACCCAAGTACCTGTGGAAAATGAGGCGGCCTAAGAAGTCGAAGTTGTCGTCCCAGACATTTAAGCCCATCACGAAGGGGACAACTGTGCTGTAGTTTTGTATCAGGGTGTTCGTTGTGCCGTCTTGCAAGAATGCTGTAAGGAATGAAGGAAGAAATGCTCAAGAAAGTGAGTAATAAGATTGGAAAATATTACAAATCATTCCATCTCCATAATATTCAAAGATATGGGCCAAAAGTAACTATACGAGTATGTCTGGAGTAATATATCCATTTTCACTATATGCCTATGGCTGGAGTAATTTGTCGGCCAGCACTATATGTATATGATAAGAGCAATATATCAGCCAGCACAAAATGCATATGCCCAGAGTAAGATATCCACCTACACGATACTTATTTGCCTAAATTATATATCCACCAGCACACATGCATGGAGTAATATATCCCCCAGAAATATATGCATATACTTACAATAATATATCTGCCTGTGCAATATGCATATGCCGAGAGAAATATATCTACCCAGAGTAATGTATCCGTCTACACTATATGCATATATCCACAATAACATATCTGCCAGCCTCAAAATATTATACTAGGAGTATCTTATGGACCAGCCAAGACCAATGCTAACTCTCTTACTACGAGAGTTTAAAGCGCCTTCGTCCCGTGTTTTGCCGACGATGATGTCCACGGCGTTGTAGCGGCCCTCCCTGAGCAGAGTGGCTGGGTGGTCTGGGAGGAAGTCTCCGTCCACGCGGGGAGCCATCAGGAAGGGGGTGGGCTTGGAGGTGGAGAAAACCAGCAATAGTGATGGCAGTAATAATGATAAGGGTGATTATGTGATGGTAATAATAATAATAATAAGGGATAGACAGGATTTTGGGTTTTGTAACTTTTTTTTTCATAACTGTTTTGTGG